TTTAATGTTGTAATTTCTCTATTGAGAAATTTGTATAATTTCTCTATTATACAAAGTAATTTCTCTATTGAATTGTCCTATAAGGACAAAAGTTTTTTCAACTTCAGGTAATGTTTTTTAGTATTTCAGGATTGGATAAATCCACACTCACTAAAGTAAACAGACTTCTTTTATGTATTTCTATACAAAATATGCCCCCTTTTTATTCCCCCTTTTGGCAGCCAAAAGTTTCTTTCTGTCTTTGTAGGGATTGTGCGGTCAGGTGTTTTCTCATCTTGGCATTTTTTTGTCCTTCAGCATCAATGAGGTTTAAGTGTGTGGACGAGCAGGTGCAGCTCCACCACAGCTGTCCATCATCTGGTGAAGGTTTCCCTGGTTCAGGGCCTGTGCCCAATGAGGTCCATAACTAGGGATAACTGACTAACCAGTCACCACTTGTGGAATTAATTCATCATTTGAGGGATTTAAGTTAAGCGTGACAACCTTGAAACTAATTTCTGTACATTTGGTAAAATTAAGTCAAGCTTACAAGGCAGACCCGGAAGCCAAGATCCCAGTAGAACCTTGCAAAAAAGAAAGCTGAAAAAAACACATTTTATTTTGCTGAAATCAGATCCCTGAAAAGTAAGACCTGCGTGGTGCTGATCCCAACAAGGGGACTCCAGTTCATTTTGTTTTTTAAGTATAATGACAATACCCAAAATAGAACCTGGATGTATTCATGAAAGCCATGGGTAAAAGGAGGAATAAGATAGGATGGCACATCTATAAAACAAGAACAGATTTTAAGAATCAGACCCAATTATCGAACATAAAAATCAAAAATGATCAGCAAAATAAAACCCAAGAGATTAGCCAAATAGATTAAACACAGCTTAAGAACAAGTTATTGGGTTGAACAGTTAAATTGTAAAATTCTCCAAGAATGCAGGAGGGGAAAGTAGAAAAGTAAGAGAAAATTTTAATATTCACGGAGAATGAATCCAGAAGCTCCAAAATCCTCTTAATAGGAGTTCCAAGGAAGGAGCAGAAAAAATGGAAAAGGTGAAGTGGTCAGATAATTAACAGAAGAAAATGTCCTAAAGCTGAAGACAGATTGTTTTAGTCCATTTGTGCTGCTATAACAGAATACATGCGACTGGGTGCTTAATAAAACAGAGAAAAGTATTTCTCACAGTTCTAGAAGATGGGAGTCCAAAATCAAGGTACCAGCGGGTTCAGTTGTCTGGTGAGGGCTGCTCTGTTTCCCAGATGGGGCCTTGTTGCTGAGTCCTCAACGGAAGGAACACCGTGTCTTTATGTGGCAGAAAGCAAAAAGCCCAAAAGCGCCATGAAGCCTCCTTTTATAAGAACCCTAATCTCATCCACAAGGGAGGAAGGCTCATGGCCTAATCACTTCTTAAAGGCCTCAGCTGTTAATACTATTACATTGTATGGCGCCCCTCCCAATTTCAGGTGTTGAAACTTAATGTGTATTACATTACATTATGTTACCTTAAGTTTCAACACCTGAAATTGGGAGGGGCGACATACATTCAAACTATAACAGAGAAACAAGTTTTGAGTTTTAAATAGGCCATATAGTGCCAGTCAAGATAAATTTAAAGAGTACTAATAAACCTATCTTTAGTCATATCTTAATGAAATTTCAGAACAAAGAGAAAATTGTAAAAAGCTTCCAGAGAGAGAGAAAAAAATCACACGAAGTAACAAGAATCAGACTTCTCATTGGCAAAAATTGTGACCAAACAAAAAAACCCCAAAGTGCTGAAGGAAAATAATTGTTAACATCAAATTCTTCATCTATAAAAATTATCATTAACATGTCAGAGCAAAATATAGTCATTTTCAGATGTACTGAGATTCAAATGAATATGAATCTTTTAGGGAATTATGTGAGCTTATACTTTGAACAAATGGCAAAATAAAAATAAAGCCAAGAATTTCTTAAAAATGAATTGTAAGAAAGAGCAAGGATGCCAAGGTTATTGCTGTATATATAAAAAGAAACAGCAAGTAAATTATTAAAGCATAGTTACTATTGTTTAAAAAAATCTGAAATTAATGGGGAATGCCATGGAGAAAAAGATGTAGTACATACTAATATTCTTGTCTTTTGGGACAGAAAGGTAAATATCTTGATTATATCTCTTTTAACTTTTTATTATGAAAAATTGCAGGCACACATGAAAACAGAGATAATATAACAAACTTGACAACACCCATCGTCTAAACTTAATAATTATTCACATTTTGCCATATTTCCATAGTACTTTAAATTACCAGATATCATGACTCTATTATGCTAAATATGTCAGAACACATCTCTAGTGACTTTTTACATAACCACAATAGTATTATTATACCTAACAAGATAATAACAATTCCTTAGTATCATTTAATATCCAGTCCATATTCAAGTTTCTCGAATTATCCCCAAAATGTCTTTTTACAGTTACTTTATTCAAACCATGCCACACATCTCATTTTGTTGATATGTCTCAAGTCTCCTTCAGTTCTGAAGTGAATTGCCCCAGCCCATTCTAGCCTTTCTTTTCTTCACGCAATTAACTTGTTGAAGAAACAAGGCAGTTGTCCCATACAATGACCCATAATCTGGATTTATTAACTTGTAGGACCATTTACCTTGTTCTCCAGATACCATAGTAATTATTAATTAATTATTAAAGGCTTGATTAGTTTCAAGTCTACTCCTAGGATTAGTTTCACTACTCCTGAAACTGTCTTTAGGAGTAGCTCTAAGCAGTGCTGGGTCCTCCACCTTACGTCCCATCATGAAGTATATGTCACTGACCCCTATTATAGATGCTAAATTTAAGTGATGAGTTCGGATGGTGACAATTTGATTCCTTCATTGCAAAGTCACATTCCTCCCCTCCTCCTAGTAAAGGCAAGTTATTTACAGGATAGTACTTTGTACTTTTGCACAATTACTCTTGGGTTTAAACAGAACAAAAAGTAAATTAGAACTTTTTTAGAAACTCATGAAATGAGAGCACTGCATATCACAAAGCAAGAAAAAATACAAAAGTGGCAGCAGAAAATAACTTAATTCTAAAAATCGGAGATCAATGAATCAGTAAAAAAACAATTTGACCAATAAATAAACCAAAAACTGTCCCTGGAAAAGATAAATAAAGAGAAATATTTGGCAAATCAGGCTGAGAAGAAAAAGAAAACATGCATATAAACAATAGGGGCCATGTCAAAAATTGTAAAGAGAAAAATGTGCTCTAGAAAACATGGATGCAATTCTGAAAAAACATAAATGACCAGATTGGCTCTAAAACAAATTTTAAAATCCACATTAATCAATATAAGAAATTCATCTATTAAAATTAGACACATAAGAAAAATGAGTCCATTGGGCTGGACGCAGTGGCTCACGCCTGTAAACCCAGCACTTTGGGAGGCCAAGGCGGGCAGATCACGAGATCAGGAGATCGAGACCATCCTGGCTAACACGATGAACCCCTGTCTCTACTAAAAATACAAAAAACAAACAAACAAACAAAATTAGCCGGGCATGGTGGCGGGCGCCTGTAGTCCCAGCTACTCGGGAGGTTGAGGCAGGAGAATGGCGTGAACCCGGGAGGCGGAGCTTTCAGTGAGCCGAGATCGCGCCACTGCACTCCAGCCTGGGCAACGGACCTAGATTCCATCTCAAAAAAAAAAAAAAAAGAAAGAAAGAAAAGAAAAGAAAAATGAGTCCATTAATAAATGAATGTAATTCACCTCACCAACAGACTGGAGAAGGAAATCTTTATGAAAATAATAATGAACTCTAGAATAGTAATTGCTGTGTGCCACACACTGTTCTAACAGCTTTAAAAATATTAACTCATTTAATTTTAATAAATGCCACAAAGGCATTTGATAAAATTCAATTTTATTACAATGGTAAATATACATTTTAGGAATAAATAGAAGCATCACTATTCTTAAAAAAATTAAGACTCTACTGGAAATCTATAGCAAGCATTATACTTAATGGTGGTTTTAGAACTTTTCATATCAAGTGTCAGAAACGCAATTCAAAATCGTTTAAACAGAAAATATTTCTGTCAGTAACTTGGAGATTCTGGGGAATTTATCTAGATTGGCAATGCCTGGGCCCAGGATATTGCTGACTGGGGTATAAAAGATTATTCAGTTTGCAAGGGGCCAGGTGTAGTGGCTTATGCCTTTAATCTCAGAACTTCGGGAGGCAGAGGCAAGAAGATTACTTGAGGCCAGCCTAACCAGATCCTGTTTCTCCAAAAAAAAAAAAAAAAAAAAAAAATTAGCTGGGCTTGGTGATACACACCTGCAGTCACAGTGACTAAGGAGGCTGAGGTGGAAAGATACCTTGAGCCTGAGAGTTGGAGGCTACAATAAGCCATGATCCTGCCACTGCACTCCAGCCTGGGTGAATGAAAGTGACTCTGTCTCAACAACAAAAACAAACAATAAAACAATTTGCAAGGGTATCACCATTTTGAAATAATAATGTGCCTTAGTTCGTATAAACTAGGATTCAATTTGCAAAAATTTGAAACACGTAACAATTTATGAGAAATACTTTCCATGAATGTGTGCCCGGTCCTTTGATTTTCGTCTGACCTCCTTCCAGTTGATTCAAGATGACTGTGAATCTAGTCAAACTAGGAGAGCCCTGTCTCCCTATTGCGTTCTTGCCTTATCCTCGTTATCCTCCCACCCGCACTCCAGCCTCTGTTCAACCCATCATCACTCAGCCTTTGCTCAGAGTTTGCTTCTGGTCTTAATGAGGTGTTGCCTGAAGAATTTCTGGATCTCCCCTGAGGCGTGCTCCTGGGCTGCCGCATGAGCAGCAGGGTCTCCTTCCCAGAGCAAGGCCCTGGAAATGCCCAGGTTCCAGGACGCAAAGCACAGGGGAGCGTAGGGCGATTCTAGGAGGTGGCCTTCCCTGGGGTACACCAGCATCCTCCCGCTGCTTCTGCCATGGCTCTGCAGGTGGTCTACAGCCTACTCAGCGCACGCTTTGCTATCCAGGCATTCGTCACTCTCTCCGATGATGAAAAGAATCCATCCCCTAACCTTTTCAACAGGAAGCACATTCTGCTGATGGAGCTCATCTCGGGGGTCTCCCTTACAAGGGCGGAAGCGCACAGCTTCAGAGACGTGGACCTGCAGGCTCTCCTGAGCTGAGCTGAGCTGATGGGTGTCACAATCAGATCCTCATATCTGAGTGGAACTTCAAAGCTGGTATTGGGCCCGTTAATGCAGACAGTAGCCACCACCTGCTTCAGGTAGCAGGCCATAGCCAAGCCAATCTCGGCACCTTTGCACACGGAGATCACTCCAATTCCTGGCCTTTGGAACTGAAGCACAAAACAGAGGGAAATCTATTACAGGTCACAAGCTGAGAAAGAAATGTCCCGGGCATGCCAATAAACAAGTATGATGGAAAGAATCAAAGACAGTCGAGTCTTGGCACTCAGATTTACCAGCTCCTGGGACTGAGAATGTTACCCACTCACCCTCACTAACTACTTTATTGTCTTGTAGGGATGATACTATTACTGACCTTGCGAGGTTGTTATGAGGATCAAGTGAAACAACGGAAATAAACACTCTTCATCAATGGTAAAGTTTTGTAAAGGCAAAAAGAGTCTAACACACCAGCGATGCTTGGCATTACAAGAATAGAGCCAGGTAAGCTTTCTGAAGAACAAAATTCTTGTCTCTAGCCAGAAAAAAAAAGGTGGGGGGCATTTTTCAGGTTCTCTCAAATATTATGTAAGTGGAATTCACATTTAAATAGCATTTTATAGCTACAAAGATTTTGCCCGTATATTACCTCCATATTCAAGGGCTAATCCTGAAAGCAATGAGAGTGTAAAGACAAAAGGCTTGGATTCAAGAAATAATTGAATTGTAGTAACAATAGGAAAAGGTAGTAGCTCATAGAGGAGGATCATTAATTCTCTGGTAGACTGAGGGAGTTGAGGGGACGTGAAAAGTCTGAAAGATGAGGGGGGAAAGGAAAGGCACTCTGGACAGACAACGACAAGTACATGAAGGCCTAGTTTGCTAATTTTGCTCACAATTGTACCCCCAGCACTTTCTGTCATCAGAATCATCTGATTTTTATTTTAATTTGAGCTTCCTGAAACTCAATTTTTCCAGTGTCTATTACCATAGGTATGAGTGGGCCCAAGAATCTGATACTGTAAAATGTCCCCCAAGGAAATTGGGAAACATCTGTGTGATTAATGAACGAGGGAGTGAAGGAAGATGGCTGTAACTGAAAGTAGGAAACTGATTAGTAGGCTAAAACACTCTCAAGGAGGATGAAGACGGTGTGATGTATTAAGAAAGACAGAAGTATAACCTAAAACACTTTGTGATTGGTTGAAGACTTGGGGAGAGAGGGAAGAAAATAGATGGGCAAAAATAACAAAGTGGATTTTTTCAGAGTTTATGCTAACTTCTATACACACATTATCTCAGTTGGTCTTTCTAATAGCCAAACTGGATTCAAGAAACTTAAAAGATTTGCTTAAGGCCACAACATTATCAAGGGGCAGAGGTGGAAATTGAAGCTTATCCGCTGAATCTAAATCTAAGTTGAATATTTGCAGTTGACTTTTCTTCCTCAGACTAATTTCACAAATAGTTAAATCTGAAATGGAAAAAAAAATTGAAAACATTTTAGTTGGGATTTAATTCTTTTTAGGCAATCTTTTAAAAAGACCCAAATAAGCTTAGAAAAATTACACATGTTTTCTCAACACTAAAGATGAAGATGTTGATAATGCCCCAATAGGAAACATATCCTATCTCTCCTTGAGAAGAGTCAAGGCTCTCCAGGGTTGGGGTGGAAGAGAATAAAACATGTGAGGAAGTCAAAGATAATTTAATGGTTTGGAGCAAGGACATTATCAGATTGTATCTGTCACTTACTGCCTATGTAGTTTTGACACATTAAATATGCTTTCTCATCTGGGAGGTTGTTGTTGATAGTACTTCATAAGGCTATTGTGAATGTTACATGAGACTGCATATAACATGTTTAGCATAGAGTCTAACAAATAGTCACTCAACAAATGTAAGCCAGTATTGTTTTACCATTATTAAGTTGATCCATAAGACATGGCTGACATTTGAACATTTTGATCTGCAAAACAGTAAGTTAAACTTAGTAGAATACCAACCCTGATACTTGATATTGTGATATCTATTTCTGGGTTTCCATTTTTTTTCTTTTTTTTCTGGAGACAGAGTCTCACTTTGTCTCCCAGACTGGAGTGCAGGGGCCCGATCTCGGCTCACTGTAACCTCTGCCTCCCAGGTTCAAGCATTTCTCTTGCCTCAGCCTCCTGAGTAGCTGGGACTACAGGTGTCTGCCACCACTCCCGGCTAATTTTTGTATTTTTAGTAGAGATGGGGTTTCACCATATTGCCCAGGCTGGTCTCGAACTCCTGACCTTGTGATCCACCCACTTCAGCCTCCCAAAGTGCTGGGATTACAGGCGTGAGCCACTGAGCCTGGCCTCTCTTCTTAATCATTAGTACAAATGTCAGTACTTTGGAACTCCTCAAGAGAATAGATCCTAGTTCAACTAATATTTACCTCTTAGAAGAAGCTAGGTTAATGTTACTATTCCAGTCCTTCTCAATCACTAATGTGCATGAGAATCACCTGAAGATCTTGTTAATATGCATTTTGCTGTTTCAGGGATGGAAAATGAGATGCTGCATTTCTGAAGGCTTCCAGGTGATGCTGTGGCCACTGGTCCAGAACTACATTTGCAATAGTAGAAGCACACACTTGACGAAGAGTGCTAAAATGACCCTTCCTTTTCAGATTCCTTTCTCTAGCCTGGCTCTTGGCATTGGACACTTACTCTATGCTTCACTCTGCCCCCAGCTCTGAAACTAACTAAAAAGCTAATTCAGCTAGTCAGACAATGCAGTCAAGTCAGTTTTGCCAATACTCCCAACTTGATCTTGTACCTTTGTCCTGATCTTAGTTTCAGGACTCTTCAGTGTGACTTACTACAGCATTATCCCCCTGCAGAGATAATCACTGAAGTTTGAAAACATGTCAAATCAGATAATTCATGATTTGAGATGAGTGGCAGTAAAGCATTGAAGAGAACCTTATGAATAAGTTACAAACACTTCAAATGAAAGACATCTTGGTTTTTTTCCACTAAAAAATAATCATATTATGTCCACCATTTATTGTCTTCTATGTGCCAATAAGCACAAAACTGATCACAAATCAACTCAAAAATCTTACAAGGCAGCTATTACCATCCCCATTTAACTGTCAGCTGTGCTGTGTCCAAGTCTGCACAAGTTGGTAAAACAGAGCAGACATTGGTGATTTTGTTTTTTTGTAGTTGTCCAAGGTACAATGTAAAGTGTTTTAAATACCTTAGGATGAGCTAGTAGCAAGTTGGCAGCTTCCTCAAAAAAAAATTTTTTTTTTTTTTTTTGAAGACGGAGTCTCACTCTGTCACCCAGGCTGGAGTTCAGTGGCCGGATCTCGGTTCACTGCAAGCTCCGCCTCCCGGGTTCACGCCATTCTCCTGCCTCAGCCTCCCGAGTAGCTGGGACTACAGGCGCCCGCCACCTCCCCCGGCTAGTTTTTTTGTTTTGTATTTTTTTTTAGTAGAGACAGGGTTTCACCGTGTTAGCCAGGATGGTCTCGATCTCCTGACCTTGTAATCCGCCCGTCTCGGCCTCCCAAAGTGCTGGGATTACAGGCTTGAGCCACCGCGCCTGGTCTCAAAATATTACAAGTCCACCTCCTGCAGTTTGTCAGGCAAGTCTTCCTAGGCAAAATATGCTAATGCCGGCACTGCAAAACCATGGGAAGCCAAAAGACTGGCCGGAAATTCTATTAGGCCCCCAATGCCCCCAAACAAATCGATGACTCCTGGGAAAGGGCCTTCCCCTGAGAGTGCAAAGAGAGAAGAGAATGGGATCAGAAAGAGCGAAAAAAGGGTCGAATAGCTGCAAAAATATAAGGTGAGCAAAATTACACACACACACACACTAGCATATTAGTTTTAAAACTTTATGGGAAATACCGGTTTTTTAATAATTTGATACAATTTGTTGTTTTTTTTATTTCCATTATGATATGGTTTGGCTGTGTCCCCAGCCAAACCTCAACTTGAATTGTATTTCCCAGAATTCCCAGAGTCAAAGAAGGAATTCTGGGAGATACAATTGGGAGGGACCCAGGGCAAGGTAATTGAATCATAGGGGCTAGTCTTTCCAGTGCTATTCTCGTACTAGTGAATAGGTCTCACGAGATCTGATGGTTTTATCAGAGGTTTCTGCTGTTGCTTCTTCCTCATTCTGTCTTGTTGCTGCCGTGTAAGAAGTGCCTCTCGCCCTCCACCGTGATTATGAGACCTCCCCAGCCATGTGGAGCAATTAAATCTCTTTTTGTTCCCACTTTCGGGTATGCCTTTATCAGCAGCATGAAAACGAACTAATACACATTAACAGTGATTTCTGTATCACCAAAGATTAGTTTCACCTGGAGGGAGAAAAAGGGCTCCTCGCACTCAACCTTCTCTGATCTGCTTCCTCTGCACCCCAGGGCCTGAGAAACAGGGCTGCACAGTCTGGCTGGCCTTGGGCTGAACAGTGACTGAATCTTGAAAATAAATGGAGTCCTATAGGTCCAGACTGACCCAAAAGGGGCTGTTCATCACATCATGTTTGAGCAGCCTCCGGAAAGGCTTCTCAGGCTTCAGAGACCAAAAGAGGTCCATTGGATGTACCCCCATGTAGTCACCTCCAAATGCGGGAGCCTGCTCCAGATCCACCTCACCAGCCTCATTAGCCCTGCAGAAGGCCAGGGACCAGAACAGATTCCTCTTCTCATCCTTCAGCGAGGCCTTCAGAGTCACCACCTGGGATGGGGGCAAGCCTGTTAATTGGATATGCACTGGATCATCTGCAAGGGCACTTGCTGGGGTGGCTGACAGCTGGAACATTGACAACTGGCAAGGGAGCAAGTGGTGCCTCACCCCCTGTAGTGAGAGAGAAGACTTTAAATTGGAGAATTCAATTCCAAGAAAATGTCAAGGCAAGGTTTATATTGGGTCTGACCAAATTAAACTTCTGGGAACTTAGTGAAAAATATGCAGAACTTTTGGAGGAGGGAGAGACATGCAGAAAGTACTCATTGTTCTCGTTTTACAGATGAGGAAACGGGTTATATGGCATGCTCCAAGTCTCACAAGTAGTTGGTAGAAGTGGGAATTCAAGCTATATCTGACACCGCAGCCTCCTGTTTTATCCATTATAACACTAGTAAATCTTAGTTTTATGGTTTTCAGTACATTAAGGTTTAATTCTTCAGTGGAAATAATACCTGTGTGACCTATTTTTACAAGGTGTTAGGAGCCAAGGGGGATAATACATGACAAAGCGTCTGAAACAACACTGCTTTTCAGCCCTACCTGTTGGGTATGGGTATGGGCACAGAATTACGTAAACACGCACTCTGTTATGGTCCTTGTTGTTGTTTTTCTTTTAGTCTCTCATCCCTATCTGCCATTGTTAGACCTCTAGCTCTTTGCAGATTTTCCATTGTTTGGTTTTTTTAAAGAGAAAATAAAACTTCATGCTCTTGTCTTTGCTATTATGCTTTTCTAATAGAGTTATAAATGCCAATGTTGTTTGTAGTAAAGAGACTACAATATACATTTGATTGGCCATTTTGTACCCTGCTCCATTATAAGGAAAATCTCGGGTCTTCTTCCCTCCCTCCCTTCCTTCCTGTACAATGCATTAGCCCAATACAGCTTTTATTTTTATAGTTAATTAATTTGAATTGCTTACTATAACCACTCTTCAGCATGCATCCTTTATCTAGTTTTATCCTCCCAAGTGAGCCTCTCAAGGGTAGTAACTGTGTATGAAAACTTTAGGGATCCTTTCGACATTGATATAATAAATTATACAATGCACCTGTTTAGGAGTTATAAGGTTCATAAGGGGCAGAATACAATAGCGCCAAAAATGTAATAGAAATAAATATTTATATAGTACATTTGTGATTGAAGATTTGAGGCTTTCTTCCCAAGTTGTGGTTCCTTTTTATCTGAGAATAGTCTCCTAAAGCCCAGAGCTATGATCACTCAGGAGCTATGTATGTACCTTGTGGCATGAACCCTGGTGCCATTGCTGATTTAATTAGAGCTGAATTTCAGATTCAAGATGTGGCAATGATGTTTTCATCTTGCTAGCTTAGAAATGAGACCCAGAGATCACCAGTCACTCTATCAGGATCAAGCCTAAGGTGAGGCAAGAGAGGCATCTAGAGGACCAAAACTTACTTTCATGTCACTGATAGACCAAGCCTCTAAGGTCTTCCTTATATTGTGCACCCTTGGAACCTCTCTTTCCTTACCCTGGCCCTGGACTCACATGCAATTGGATCCATAAAATTCAGAAGCTGAAGCTATATCCAGATAATTCCAGAAAATCAGTCTTAGGGGAAATATGTGGGAGTTTGAGGGGAGAGGGAGAGGGAGAGGGAGAGAGAGAGGGAAAGGGAGGGGGAGAGAGAGAGGGAGAGGGAGGGGGAGAGAGAGAAGGAGAGGGAGGGAGGGGGAGAGGGAGAGGGAGGTGGGGAGAAAGAGAGAGAGAAGTTATGAATGAATAAAGTAGATACAAAGATGAAAGTCAGAGAAAGTAATCTTACTAGATTTCAAATTCCTGGTTCTAATCACTCCTGAAGGTCAACTGTACTTGAGTTCCTTGAGACACTCTGGCATCCCTATAATAGAATCCCTTTGTTTACATTAGCTTGAGTTAATGACTATTACTTGCAATCAAAGAGTCAACTAGTTCAACTTTGTATTTCCAAGCTCAGGATGATTGACTTCTGTAAGGTCATATGATCAAGAGAGAAAAGGTGCCAAGTTTCCTGACTTAGTTGCATGCTTTTTTTTAATGGCCAACAGACTATGATTCAAACTTTGGGAAAGCACATGACTTTTACTTTTTCTAAAAAGTTCTACTAAGTGAGAAATTCCTCCAGGATATCAGAACAGTCTGGAGTTTCCTTTTGGTCATATCTGAGAGTCCACCAACAGAGAAAATCCCAGCATCAAACTCCTTTCTAAAACCAGGTTGGCTGTGCCCCTAGACTGTGTGATAGAATCAATCTCACCCTGTTATGTGAAGGCCTGGTATCCCACATCACTCATCACCTCTCTCTGTTGTCTCTGCTACTCTATATTAGTGAAGGCTACTAATGATGAGGTACAGAAATCTCCAAATTTTGAGGCCCCTAGTCCCAAAAAGATACACTTCAATATAATCCCACTTAACCTTTACCACCACAAATATATTTAACCTGGAAAAATGATTTTGTTATCATAAACTGAAAAGACATATTATACATTTTCATGTATAGATTCATTTCTGGTGAACTGATAGCATCAGCACACTGTAAACTAAGGAGATCAGTTGTAGGATTTATTAGTTTAGCTACAGAAAAATCAGTCTTTTCCCATGAGTGTTGGTACTTTTTTATTCTCAGCCCACTACTATCAATTCTCCTTAAATCTGGGGTATTTGTTTGTAGACACCTGATTTTCAGTCTGTACAAAACACAATGATTCCATCATGTTTCTGTCCTTGAATCACTTGTTGAATTGTATGTCAGGACAGTGACTGTCTTTAGGACTCCGAGAGTGCGTATTAAACAGCCATGAGACGTACAAGACTGAATTAGTCTGTTCTCACATTGCTGATAAAGACAGACTTGAGACTGGGCAAGTATTAATTCTGGATAATATTAATTCCCATGGTAAAGCTTTTTCATTTTTCAAGGCTCTTTCAAGGTCATTATTCCCTGTGGGAACAACAACCCTGTAGGAATAAAAACATATTACTATCCTTACGTTACAAATTAGGAAATAGAGCTCAGTGAGTTAAATGGTTTAGCCAAGTTTGCCTATGTAGTCAATGATGAAGCAAGAATCTTAACTCATATCAGGTGACCCAATATCTAAACTTTAACTATTTTCCCCAAATGAGAGTAGAAATATGAAAACTCACTCTTCTCTTAACCTACCCCTCCTTTTTTTTTCTTTCCCAATACTTTATTTTTAATTTCATCTTTCTTTTTCCTGACTCTGAACCTTTTAGTTAAGTATACACCCTGGTGCATACTTTGGCAGGACAGATAGTGAAATAGTAGAATTATAGCCCACAAACTCATGTGTGCACAAAATGTATTTTTTTCTATTTTTCTAGATTCCAAGTAAATTCTATTTTAAGTCTTTGTTCTAAGATTACATCTCTGCCACCTGGAGGAACAAAGGCTCAAAATAGAAATTACTTGGAATCCAATGCTGAAAGACTCGGGAAGCTTATACATTATTGTGCATTCTTCCGAACCTGCTGTACAATGTGTGCCAGAGGCTCCAAATTCAGATACCCACGGGGACCAAGCAGGTAATATAAATTTATAGATAAGGGCCAGGAATAAATGAGATATAGAACTGTAAAGAACTAAAGACAACCTAGTCTTTAGCCCAGTCTAAAGATATCCAGTGTGCAACAAAACAAGATGTGAACCAAACAAAACATACTCATTTATGACTTCTGGAGTGCATATCAGCCATTAGGTTTTTTGTAACTCAGAAATCAAAAGAAGATTTTCCCCCCCTTTCTGATGTGCTACATTTTTTTAAGGCAATGGATATCAACTTGTCTCTTTTAGGTAGAAGAAGGATGACAAAGTAAAGTGGAAATGCCAAAATGAGGGGATGAGAAGTGGGAAGTGAGGACTCACATATTAATATGTCCAGTGATAAAGAACAAGTTGAGCTGGGCATGGTGGCTCATGCCTGTAATCCCAGCACTTTGAGAGGCCGAGGCAGGTGGATCACAAGGTCAGGAGTTCGAGACCAGCCTGGCCAATATGGTGAAACGTCATCTCTAAAAATACAAAAATTAGCTGTGGTGGCATGTCCCTGTAGTCCCAGCTACTCGGGAGGCTGAGGCAGAAGAATCACTTAAACCCAGGAGGTAGAGGTTGCAGAGAGCCAAGATCACGCCACTACACTCTAGCCTGGGCGACAGAGCAAGATATTGTCTCAAAAAAAAAAAAAAAAAGAACAAGTTGACACCGGCCTCAAAATCCAAAGCCTTCAAAACCTTCTCCTTGCCACCTCTCCCCATGCTTAATCTATATGACTTTTTCCTACTTTTATTTTGTTACATTTGTATTACCTTATTCTCAGTTGGATCCCAACTAATCCATATACATGGATTCATACCCTTGTTAGTTGATAAGGCTTATTGCTTCTCAGAGCCAGCTCCTCATAGGTTCCAGAGTGTTAATTTATACGATCCTTAAGGCTTCTCCTGTCCAACACTGCATTGTCACAATCATCAATAAACTACCTACTGTATAAGGGACACCCATCTGAAGAGGTCTCTCCTTCCTCTGGGCCCTCCAGCATGCCTCTCAAAGCACTTAATATATTGAGCCTTATAATCATTTATATTGTGTTTTCTCTCTCCTATTAATCTGAAATTTTCTTGAAGGCAGAATTCTGTTTATTTGTCACTTTTACTGTATACAGAGCCCTTCACATTCCATGTGTTCATAAATGATTTTAACTTTACACTCTTCTTCATTCCCACAAACTCTTGTCCTTTTTCCCAAATCTTTCTCCCTTTCTACCGTTTTTTTTTTTCTAGTCTCTACAATATTATCAGACTGATCTCCGCAAAACTCAAAAGTCAAATTACTCTTCTACTTTCAACTTCCAGTAACTCCCAGATTCATTTAAGGGTGGAATCTAAATCCTTTGGCATAGCACTTAAGACCATTTCCAAGGGAGTGGCTCTACCATGGAGCCTTAGAGACTCTACATGTGTCTACATGGGATGCACAGGCAATGCTTGGACTGCCATGTGACCTAAATCTGGGTGGAATGCCCTGTGATCCTCCTAACATGGCAAGGGA